TTAACAGGATTAACTCCCCTGTTAATTCCTTTAGCCTCGTCCGGCCTCATTCCTGATCCCCTTTTGAAAATCAAACCAAACCCATCAGAAACGGCCCCCAAATCCTCCTCATTACTCACCGGATTTGAAGCCTGGACCCTTAATTCCGCCGGCTGGATCGCCGCCCCTTGTCCCGCATCCGTACCTCCGGTCATCTCCCTTTTCAATTTAGCCGCATCCAAATCAGATTTGAGAAGCATCGCAACCCTGCTCTGCATCCGCCGCAGTAACTTCTGCGGGTTCCTCGCTCGGGAGAGAAGGTCCCTTCCGCGCGCCTTGAAGGTGCTCCAGTCCTCAACGAGGAGGCCACCCACCCCTCGCCGCTCATCGCGGCCGCCGGCGGCGCCGCCGCCGGCGGCGCCTCCATGTTGACCCGGTCGTGGGTTGCCTCGGCTATCGCCAGAGAGCCTGATGTACCCGTTCCGCATGCACTCGTGTCCTCTTCAACTTGAGCTTCAATCCATCAGGGGCTCAGCGCTCGGGCATCTCTGGAGATCCGAATCCGGCGAGGACGACAGGTAGTAAAAAAATTGGCAGCGAACAAGCGTTGGGAATGCGCGTTCCCGGGGCCTCGGCCCTGCTTTACCTCGCGCGTAATCCGGCGCTGTAATCTGAACCTCCACACTCTGCCGAGATGCACGCAGCGCAACCGATCTGCAGCGACGTGATCAGTGATCTACAGATTGCTATTTTTTCTGCCTGCGATGGCCACCGAACGCGCGCTATTGTACGCACGTACTCCCCGTCTTGGGCAAGCTACGATGCTGGGAAACTGGCGCCCTGCACCGTATGTGTCCTTCCCGTCGGTCACATTGACGCCCGCAGAGAGAGATTCTGGGGACGAAAGGGACGCGCTGGATCGTCCGGAATTGCGCCGGCGTTGATGCACCTCGCCAAGCTTCCTCTTCTCTACCACCCCACCACCTCAACATCAAGGGACAGCCAGGCCATCTGGTACTACTGCCATTTCCAGCAGAGGCACGGCACGGCAACATTTAAGCCAAAGCGGTGCGCTTCAGTTCTCTAGTGCAGTGCAGTGCGTACTCCAAACAACCACAAGAAACCTTTGGCTTCACTGCCAGTATCCATTAACTCCCTTCGTCCCAGCTTCCATGTCTTCTGCACTACCCCCTCTGTTTTCTAGAGGGGGGGACGTCGGTGTCACCATTGATACATCGAGGCTGGCAGTGGCGGGACAGAGCAGAGCAGAGCACGAGGGTGGTGGGGTTCATGAGCTTTGGCGCGGCCTCGTTTTCCCGCAGATGGTCTCGCGGAAGCAGAACGGATTTTATTCCCATTCTCTCTGGCATGCCATGCTCGCTCCACCGAGCTGCTACAATGGCGGTTAACATCGGATGACCATGACGATGATGATGTGCCGTGCCATCAACTACAACTACTGCTAAGCATTTTGTTAATCCTGAATGATACTCCTACTAACTATATACCGAGACGACGATGTTAATGGCTTTCACGCCCTGATTAGTAGCGCGCCGGGCGATCATCACCAGAGCTGGTCGAGGTAGTAGTCCCTGGTCACCTCGTCGCTCATCTCGGAGTAGTCCTCCACGCGGCTGCACGCCTCCGAGCTCTTGAAGCTGAAGCTGTCCTGCGACTGCGGCGCCGCCTTCCTCGACCCGCCGCGCGCCAGGCCCGGGGCCAAGCCGGCGGCGGGGTTGTTGTTGCCGTGCCGCTGCCTCGGCGCGCTCTGGCACCGGCCCCTCGCCACGGACGACGCCGTCTCCGCCATGTACCGCGGGCTGCTCGACTCCCGCCCGCCCCCGCACGAGGGCCGGCCTTTCGCCGGCGAGCCGCCGGGCACGATGGCCGGGAGGCGGGGCGTGTTCTGCGTCGTCTTGGGCTGCTGCGGCTCCAGCTCCCGCAGCTGCAGCCGCGACGGCGGCTTGCAGAAGTAGGCGAGCGGCGAGGACGGCGGCGGCGCCTGCGGGTCGGCGGCCGCGTACCGGCCCGCGATCCGGGACGACCGGCACCGCAGCTGGCACGTGTCCATCTCCACGATCCGGGGGCTGCGGTCGTCCCCGGCGCCGCCCTCCGACAGCCTCCGGCGGTGCACCACAGGCACCGACGTTTTCCGCTCCTACGCAACAACAACAAACAATCATCAAGCGTCAAATTTTCAGCTTCATTTTCATTCACCAGACGAAATGCGGTTCATCACCAGAAGAAGAATCACGATGCGCGGCGGGAAGGGATTCTGACGGACCTGCTCGATGGACCTCCGGGAGGAGGAGAGGTTCTTGAGGGCCTGCGAGGAGGCCTGCAGCCTCATGAGCGCCTGCAGCCGGTGCAGCGTCGTGGCCGCCTGCTTCCGCACCAGGTAGCCGCGCACCAGCGCTTGCAGCTTCACCAGCGACTTGAGGGCGCGGAGAGCCTTCCTGGCCTGCCGGTCGCGGTAGTACAAATTTCAAATCTTTGACACATTTCTTTAGTGGTCGCGGTAGTACAAATTTCAAATCTTTGACACATTTCTTTAGTGTTTGATAGGTTTAATAAGTGCGATGATGACGAGTGCACCGACTAGGCTTGTGTCACGACGTGCAGAACTGTGGGAATAAACATAAATAAATTCGAAGCGGCAGCAGGAGCAGCAGATTAATAAACAATGAGCAGTTGCTAACGAGAAGGCAGCAACCATCGGATGCAACAGGACGCACAGTGAAGTCAAATCTGCTGCCCAATGCAGATGCAGAGGAATCTACCAATATCCCTTTCACCTATTCATCTATGCATTCCATCGCCGTTTACAACTGTTAATCTTTCAAGAGATGATGCAGATGAAATGCCTGAAAATTGGCCTAGCTTCAAACGTGTGTTCATCACAAAATTCAGCTTGATGTTTGTGTGAGAGAAAAGGAAAAGAGAAATGCGAGAGAAGCATGGACAGGGTCGTACCAGGTAGCCCCTGAAGGCCTTCTGGATCAAGACGGCGGCTTCCGTCTCCGTCTCGCGCGCCTGGCCGCAGCCGCACGGCCTGGCCTGGGAGAGCTCGCCGGCGACGACGGCGGTGACGGAAGGCCTGCGGCTGGCGTCGGCGACGCTGCTCCTGGCCTTGGCGAAGCTCCACCTCCTCCTCTCGATCGGTGGCACGGCGGCGCTCGGCTCCTTGGCCCCTTCCTTCTTGCCGCCGCCGCCGGTGAGCACCTTCTTGAGCCACCGCATGGCCCGCCCCATGGCGCGACGACCGATCCTATTACTACCTGCGCGAAGAACGACGCGTCAAGAACTCAAGATTCGGCAAATAAAACACAAAATCGTACGACGAACTGCAAGAACATAGGAGACGACAGCCATGGCGTCGACCTGCGGGTGAGTTGAGACAGCGTGCGTAAACAAGAAGCCGGAAGCTACGGGAGCAAGTTGAAGCTGAAACGGGGAGAAGGTTGAGGAAGAAAGCAAAAGCAATCACCGAACCGCCCCAAAAGATAAGTTTCTGTCTCTTTCTCGTCGGAAGGTAAAAGAGGCGAAACCTTTTAGAGAGGCGCGCGGCGAGGAAGAGGAGGCCGAACAGAAAAGAGCCAGCGGCGTAGCGCCAAGGCAGCGGCAGCGGCGGAGTTTGTGGGTGGGTGGGAGATGGCAGTCGGATGAGTGAAAGGAAGCGAGGGGCAGCGTCGCCTGTGGTCACCTACGTGAAGCCCGGAAGAGGAAACCTTTTCCCCCGGACGAGCTTTTCAGGCAAGCAATGCCACCCACCCACCCGCAGCCCCAACGAACGAACAGTGAAAAAACAGGAAGCAGAGAAGGAGCGAAGAAGAGAAGCGCAGCGGCGTGCGGCGGGGAAGGTGGGTAGGAGAAGGGAACGCACGCGTGTTCTCGCTCGCCTCGCCTGTGGGCTGTGGCATGTGATGAACAAGGCTTGTCTACGACGAGGCCGGGCGCAAGGCAACAAGCTAGGCCAGCGTCCCACGGGCACGAGCAAAACGAGACGCGAGAAGAAACCAACGGCGGTGGGGAAATCATCACTTGTATCTCACCTCGCCTGCCTCAAAACTCTCGTCGCCGCTGCGGCGGTGGGGGTGGCAGCGGTCGTCGTCGTCGTCCCGCTCCCGCTCGCGGGGCTGGCTGGCGCGGCTTTTGGGGCGGGCGGGTGCGGCCAGCAGCTCACGCCAAGATCCCGATCCTGCGAATGATTATATTTCCGGCGGGGCGAGATCGTGGAGCCGTATCGCCTAGCTAGTGCCTGCCGCCCTGCGCTGGTACCCAGACGAGAGGACGCGCGGGCTTTAGCTCGTCTCCAGTTCCCACTTCCAGCCCTCCCCGTGCCTATGCATATGCCTACGCCGGGAGGGCCCGCGGCGGGGAAAAGCGTGATGTGACGCCGACCGCTCACGGTGGCGCACTCGCTCACCCGGCCGGCCGCCGGTACACTGACCGCCGCGTACCGGTGGTACTGGAGTGCTACGGGTAGAGGCACCGATCCGGTCAGATTAATGGCCCTGTTTGGATACTCTAACTCAGTTAGAGGTTAGAGTTAGATTCTAACCCTAGACTAACCCTGAACTAACTCTAACCAAAGAGATGTTTGGATGACAGGGTTAGATTGACAATAAATATTCTTTCTCAACCATTTGGCTACTTTGGACCCTATTTTCTACCGGATTTGGTGTGGCCAGCTCTTATGTGGCCTCCTCCCACTCACAATTGACACAAACAAATGATATTTACAAACCAAGGGTTCGGAATTCTGCTCTCTCGAATGAAATTATAAAGAGCCATACAAGTAACAATAATTCTAGTTTGTTTTGTACAATACGGCTGCGAACCCCACATATCGAAGCCGTCTCCGTCCATCGCGGGTGCTCCGCTCGAAGAGAAGATTCAGTAGCGCATCCAGAAAATGAAATTGTACCAAAATATTATTTAATGATGAAGTATTGAGTTGATCACACTATATAGATCAGCTCTTCGTTTCTTAATGCTCTAAATTTGCACAAGAACATCTACAACAAAAGAGGAGGCTGAACAGGGTGTTCTGATTCAGTTATGTAAAATGCATCGATGGTTTTCTTTTAACCATCACCGCCTGTTCTGTTAACAAAAAATAATACAAAATCTAGCTATTACGTAATCAGAAGTTCTGCCAACAAATTAGCATGCAAGAATCTGGAACAGCAAGAAATTTCCTATGAAGAGAAGGAGGGCAGACTACTCTTGCTGACTTGCTCATGCATGCACCAGCCACATGCGCAGACATCCATTTCTCTTGCTCATGCATGCACCAGCCACATGTGCATAGCCGCCGCCTAGTCCTTAATCACCGGCCACTCACTCCACCCAAGCCCCTGTGTCCGGCTCCAACGGATCCAGCCGCCCCGCCGGCTCAAATCTTGGCCACGAGCCGTTGCTAGCTAGAGAGGCGAGCGTGTAGGAGGAGGGAGAGCACAAGTACAGAAGGACGAACGAACTCACCATCGCTGGATCCCCGGTAGATGCGCCGCCTCGGACGACACGGAGAGAGAGAGACGGCCGGGGACGGGGGAGGAGGGCGAGCGCCGTCCGGAGGAGGGCGCGCCTGGGGTTCCGGCGGCGCGGCGCTCGGGCTGGCGGCGCGGCGCTTGGGCGGGGGCGCGATGGGGAACGGGAGAGGAGTCGCGGAGGGGCGGTGGGAGGGAAGGATATGGTGTGGGTGGGGGATTTTTTTAGTTGTTTTTTCAGTGGGCCCTAGGAAATCTAACCCAACTAGCACCTCTTGCCCGGGTTAGTTTTTTTACATGGGGGTAGATCCAACTAGCTGAAACTAACCCATGTGTTTGGATCCTTTGGAGTTAGTTCAGGCAAAACTAACTCAATCTAACTCTAACTGAGGGATCCAAACAGGGCCAATGTTTTGGGGCTGGCTCCTTCCTTTTACTGTCGAGGACTAGCTGTAGCTACGCGCCTGGACCAGCTTGGGCTTGATGCTTGTCTAGCACAACCAACACGGCCCGTACGAGGAATATCTATACGAACTGTAGCTACTGCCAGCACAAGTAACAGTAGTAACCCTTCTCAAAAAAAAGGTAACAGTAGTAACCCACCGTACTCAAATTTAACAATTGCCGTGGATATTGGCGTCGGTGGGAAACTGTCACGGGAACTACAGTGGCGGACCCCAAGGCCGGCTCCGCTACAGCCCAGCCCAGGCCCAAGCGGGAGAGGAGGCCCAGCTCGCGCGTCACCGGACCGACCTGGAGCAGGTGAACCATATATATATATATCAGGAGCGGGTGTGAGTTAGGGTATCGTTGGATCAGAAAACTGGCGGCGCCGTTGGGCGATGTATCCTTCCTCCCGCCCCCGACTCTAAATCCCGATCCCCTTCTTGCTGATTCGACCTCTTAGCTACTTATCTGTACTCTGAACTTGGCAATTGAGAGATAGATCGAGAGATTTCTACCCAGGACCGTATCATCTTGCTGATTCGACCTCTTAGCTACCCAGGATCGAGAGATTTCTACCCAGGCTGCCAAGGAGAGGAGCAGCATCGCGCAGGCGCTGCTCGGGATCCAGCGCTCCCTCGACAAGATTGAGCCGGCGGTGTCGCAGATGGAGCCGCTGCTGCAATCTCTCGAGCCGGTGGTCAACGATCTGTCGGCCTGGCGTCCTGGGGTGGATGCGGCTGTCGGGCGTCTCCAAGAAGATCTCGGGGAAATTAGCGCGCAGCTCGCCAAGATCGCGCTCGGTGCGAACGCATCGGGGAAGGCGCCGGGTCACTCATCCTCGACGACGGCAGACGCGCCGTTGCTCGACTCCGGCGCAGGTGGTGACGACCATGGGCAGATTGGCCGCCGCTATGCAACACCAAATTGGGTCCTGCCACTTGGGGAACCAATCCTCCAGGCGCCGGTCCCGACCAATGGTACTTTTCGGACACCCTTTCCCTCCGTTCCTATTCCAAATCCATATGAACAGGGCAACACCAGTGGGTTCTCTGGTGGTAGATCGGGCACTACTAGGGTTGAATGCCCGGAGTTTAATGGGGACAATCCCACGGGGTGGAAAATTCGTTGTGAAGCATGTTTTAGGATAGGGGCAGTGGATCCTTCGGTCTGGGTAGATACAGCTGTGGTCAATTTCACTGGAGCAGCAGCCTTGTGGTTAGAGTGGTCTCAGGCTCATGTTAAATTCACTAGTTGGGATCCTTTTGTTGCATCTGTCTTAGACAAATTTGGCAGGTCTGAGTTCCAACAACTCCTTCGCAAATTTTCTCGGCTTAAGCAACATGGGACGGTGTTAGAATATGCAGAGCAGTTCAATGTGGTGATGCATAGTTTACTGGCTCACCACGGGTCATGGGATCCGCTGTTTTTCACCACTCATTTCTTGGAAGGGTTGCAACATGATATTAAAATAGCTGTTATGCTTCATCGTCCGCGAGATTTGGATACTGCTGTCGCTCTTGCTGAATTACAGGAAGAGGTGGTGGAGCTAACGCGACAAGAGAATGAGGCAGTGGCAGCGGCTCGCGGAGCGGCTACAAGTGCTCGCACTGGGCGCTTTTCAGCGCGACCTCCTCTGCCAGTGGTGTTGCCCTCGATCCCGACCACTTCAAAAAGCGCAACCCTCTCGCCAGGGACACCTCCGACCGATGGAACGCAGTCCAGAATCGGCACGTATTCCCATCGCTAGCGCCTCAGTGGACGACAAACTCCGGACACTGCGGGCTTATCGCAAGGCACGCGGGCTCTGCTTCACGTGCGGTGAACGCTAGGGGCCAGGTCATGTGTGCACCGTTACGGTTCCTTTGCATGTTGTGGAGGAACTGGTGGGTCTGCTGACACCACCAACAACGCCAGAGTCGCTGGGGTCTCAGGGAACTTCGGAAGATGATCTTTGCCTCTTGTCTGCGGCTGCCATTGCAGGGACAGAAGCACCTAAGGCTTTCAGAATGCTGGGCAAGATGAATGGCAAGACCTTGCTGATGCTGGTTGATTTGGGTTCTTCGCATAGCTTCATCAACTCAGAGATTGCCAGCGATTGGCCTGGAGTGTAGCCTATGGCCAAGAAACTAAGAGTGAAGGTGGCTGATGGTGCAGTGACCACTTGTGACGCTGAGTTACCAGATTGTGAGTACCAAATTCAAGGGCATCAGTTCCGATCAACTTTGAAACTGTTTCCATTGGGTAGTTATGATGTGATTTTGGGAATGGACTGGCGGGAATCTCGAGGGCTCATGACTGTCAACTGGGGCAGCA